GTGTGTGTGTGTGTGTGTGTGTGTGTGTGTGTGTGTGTGTGTTGCAACCAGGCTTTTGAGGTGAAAAGAATGGGGAAATTGTCCAGGTTGGCACTCCTTTCTTCCTCCTCTGCTCCCTTCTGGGCCTTTGACTACATCTCCTCTAAGCCTCACTAACAACTCCTTCACAAGATCTTGAGCGATGTTTCAGCCCTACATTGACATCTGTTTCCCAAGAACACTGGGCAGCTTTGGTCTGAGTCACCAGCCATGCACTTTATTACATGCCTCAGGTTACAAGCCTGTGAGCTCAGTTCCTGACACACACTCAGGAGGTTTCAGTTGCTCAAGGACAAGTTGCAATAAAACCCCCCTTGCAGTTAGGACCTGGGGCTGTGTTTCACCCTCAAGACAAGCTTTGATTCATTGCTTGAACTCCCTGACCAGAACATGCTCTCCTAGATGGAGGCATAGGAGGAGGGACCTACAAAATATCTCTCATCAGGACCAAGACAGCATCTGACTCTTGCTGAGCATCAATGGAGTAGACACAGATGTAGTGGGTAGCCATTCCAGCTTGGTTCTGGAAGTTCCAACCCCCATTGAGACTCTGGCAACTGTCACGCCTACGAGGCGGGGCGAGGGGAAGCGCCGGGGGACCCGAGAGCTGGATGGGTCAACGCTCTCTCTGGGCGCTCTCTCGGTGTCGGTGTCGGGACGCTGACTGGTGCAGATTGACTGTGCAGAGCTCCGGAGAACACCGCTGGACTGCGTTACACCTTCCCAAGACCCTGCGACCTACCCATTACTTAATTTGTGAGTTACGCCATTAAATAAATATCCTTTTAACTACGTGGAGTGGCCAAAATAATTTCTCCAATACACAGAGGTGTGGCAAAGGGCCTTTGGGTGCCTGACCCAAGCATTTACAGGGATCTGAAGATGCTACTGACCTAGAAAAGGGTCACTGCTTTTCAAACACACAGGTGTCCATGCACACTTATACACACTTGCACACAAATGTGTGTGTGACTTATAAAATACAAATCCATCTCAAGTCACTGCTGACTTTAATTTCTTGCCATAAATTTATTTTTATTTATTACTTGTGTGTATCCTATAGCTCATTGTGTGGAGGCTAGAGGATAACCTTTGAGAATCCATTTTCTGCTTCCACCATGGGTTCCAGGGATAAAATTGAGGTCATCAGACTTGTGCAGTAGGCACCTTTACATACACACACACACACACACACACACACACACACACACACACACACACACATCACACACATGCACACATGTGGAGGTCAGAGGTTAACAGCAGGTGTCTTCCTCTTTCTTGTCCTGGCTAGTTTTGCATCAATTTGACACAAGCTAGAATCATTTGGGAAGAGAGACTCTCAATTGAGAAAATGCCTTCATAAGGTTGGCCCGCAGACAGGTCTGTAGTATGTTTTCTTAATGACTGATTGATGTGGTCAGACCCAGCCCACTGTAGAGGGTGCCACCCCTGGGCAGGTGGCCCTGGGGTGTGTTCTTGAGAAAGCAGACTGAGCGAGCCATGAGGGGCAAGCCAGTAAGCAGCACTCCTCCATGGCTTCTGCCTCGGTCCCTACCTTGTTTGAGTTCCTACTCTGACTTCCTTCAATGATGAACTGTGATGTGAAGGCGTAAGTGACGTAAATCCTTTCCTCCCCAGTTGCCTTTGGTCCTGGTGTTTTATCATTGCGATAGAAACCCAGAATCCCGTGTAAGACAATTCTTTACCTTAGTTTGTGAAAGAGCCTTGTGCTGCACCTGGGGCTCATTGATTCTACTAGGCCAGCTGGCCAGCAAGTCTAGGAATCCTCCTGTCTCTGCTCCCCAGCTTTTTAGTGGGTGCTAGAGATCTGACCTAGCTCTTCATCCTTGTATGGGGCAAGCATTTTGCTAAGTGAACCACTTCCCCGAGGCCCGCAGAAAACTGTTATCACTGAAAAACCGTTTCATCCTATCAAAAAAAGGTTGGAGCCACTGAAGCAGAATCGGAATGCTGGCCTCCTCTCTGCTCATTTAATCAGATGCCTTGCTGATCCCCACACCCAGAGTCCAGCTCCCTATTTACAGACATTTACCTAGTCTGCCAAAATGTTTCTGAATTCATCAAAGCTCAGTGCTTGGGTCAAAGTTTGGAAGTTACTGATGCAACTGCTGCCCTCGGCCAGTTTGTCAGACGCTTGCCCACCGGAAACACGATTTGATGAGTTCTTTTTTGGCTGATAGCAAACAGAAAAGCCCAGCTCCAGTTGTTCTTCCCGGGTACAAATTATTCAGAATTCTTCCTTTACATGGCTGGTGACTGGGGAAAAGTCATCATATGTCATCGCATTAATAGATACCCCAAAATGCCTTTTTCCCCTTGACCCAATTTGCTACCTTTAGTTCCACAAATTATCTGCTGTATAGATGCATCTCACCAAAGTCAATGGGAATATCCTCCGAGTGCCATAATAATTTCTTATATTTCTATTTGCTTCAGAAACTAAGCCGTACCTGCAGGTTAAGTAAAAATATGCAAATTCTAATGAACTTACATAATCGATTTTGATAAGATCTGCACTCCGGGCAGAACTGAAACAGGTCTCACATCAAGTCTTGAGAACTGCTGTCCAAAAAGCCTGAAACCTGGCACTAGACAGCCAGGGAGCTTCAACTTTCTCTGTAAAATACCCATCAAGAAACAATCAAAGGGGAAAAAATGCTTAAGTGGAAATGAAGGTGGCTTTGCCAGACCCCCAGTTTGCCTAGCCATGACTGGACTACCATTTATAAATCATGCTGGACCAACAACATCTGGGCTGTGCGTCTCTGTTACCGCATCCACACAGGTGCTGTTCTCATCTCGTCAGCTGTTGTTTAACAGTGGATGCTGAGTCTTGTAGGTTGTGTAAGACACCCAAGGTAAAGAGCTACTACTTGACAAACCTGGAGTTAAACCAAGATTTTCCAAAGGTCAAAAGTCTGTGTGTTTTCCGCCAGTCAACACTGCCTTTTCAGGGAAGGCATTGTTCTGTTGCCTATCAGCCCTTCCTTCAGTCAGGGCAGTATGGGACAGATTCAGCTATGGCCCTCAGGTAAGAAAGTGGGGAGATGTTTAGAAGGCTTAAAGTGGTGCCACCAAATAGTCAAACTGTGCCATTACGAAAAAGTCCCAGTATTGCTCAGCCATCTCTACAAAACAAGTCAAATCCATCTATATATGTTCCACTTACTCATATGGTGACCTTATTAAAATGAGTCACGGTGAGCAGGCAAGACGGCTCAGGAGTTAAAGGGCACTAATGCCAACCCAGCCACCCAAGTCAGAGCCCCAGGGTGCATATGGTGTGGGGGGAGAACCAACCTGTATGTTGTCCTCTGCAGATGACATGGTACATATGAACACACATAAATAATATAAATAAATGGAAATTTTAATGTGCCGTGAAAACTGGGTATGGTGGTGTATGTCTATAATCACAGTACTCTGAGGCAGAGCATCAGGAGTTCAAAGTCATCCTTGGGTATATAGTGATTTTGAAGCCAGTCTGGGCTACATGAGATCCTGTCTCAGGAAAAAAAAAAAAATGTGCCGCTGGGCTGAGGAGATGGCTTAGTGAATAAGGCACTCACTGCTCAAACATGTGAACCGGAGTTCATATCTTCAGAACTCACACCAAACAAAGCCAAGCAGACATGGCAGCAGCCTGGAATCCCACCAAAGTCAGGCAGGCACGGCAGCCTGTAATACCAGGACTTGGGAGGTAGAGATGTGGGATCCCATGGGCAAGCTTGTTAGCAAAAAATGAGCAAGGTTGGCAATAGAGACTCTGCCTCAATAAATACAGTGGGAAATAAAGTCACTTGTCATCAAATTTGGGCCTCAAGCACAGATAAATGCAAGTGTATACACACACACACACACAGACATGCACACAAACACACATATAGACACACACAGATACACACACAGACACACACACAGAACACAGACACATACACACACACCTATACACATGCAAATGCACACACATGTGCACATCAGAAACACCAAAAAATAGGCCAAGAGTCTACATATGGAGCTCCAGCTATAGATGCAAGAACCACTATGTGGTTCTCCAAGTACAGAAGTGTTGTGGAATATTACTTTAAGATGTGTTTTATTTGTTTATGCTCGGGAACTTTTGTTTAATGATGTAAAGATGTGTTACATTCTTTTATGTTACATTTGTTTAACTCTGTGAAGCTGTGTTACTTTGTCTGTCTAAAACACCTGATGGTCTAATAAAGAGCTGAACAGCCAATAGCGAGGCAGGAGAAAGAATAGGTGGGGCTGGCAGGCAGAGTGAATAATCAGAAGGAGGAATCTGAGAGGAAAAGAAGAAAGTGCAGAAGAGAACAAGGAGAGGAGGATTCTTGAGGTCAGCCACCCAGCCACCCAACCACACAGCCACCCGGCCACCCGGCCACCGAGCCACCCAGCCAGCCACAGAGTAAGAGTGAAAGTAAGATTACAGAAGTAAGAAAAGGGAAAAGGCCAGAGGCAAAAGATAGATGGGATAATTTAAAGTTAAGAAAAGCTGGCAAGAAACAAGCCAGGCTAAGGCTGGGCATTTATAATTAAGAATAAGCCTCTGTGTGTGATTTATTCGGGAGCTGAGTAGCAGGCCCCTCAAAAGAGCTAAAAAAAACCCCAGCAACACAGATGCAGTCATTGCATCAACTGCTCTTGAGTGCTCCAGATGGAAACTAAGTCAGCTAAGGACTCCAGGGGATGCCATGATACAAGAAAACGCAGCTTACTTATTCTGGGAGCTGGCGTCTGCCGTCAGCCCTCTGTGTGTGGAGGTGAAGAGACAGCCAAGCTGTGGGCCGACTGTGCCTGGGCCAATAGCAAAGCCAGAAATAGCACTCATCACCGTGATGACTTCAAAGCAGTTCTCTGAACTGAATTAAGTGGGGAAGAGGCCAAGTGTGGCTATTTGTGAATCAAATAAAGAGATAAATTAATTTTGTTTTTATGCAAACATTCGTCTGGATGAAGAATTAGACTGCTGGCATGAATGTGCATTAGAAGAACAGAAGCTAGATTGTGTTCCAAAGGAATTGTCTCAATGACACAGCAGTTAGTGGCCTGGCTGCCTTCTCAGAAGAATCAGCGCTTGTTAGGAGAGTGATCTTGTAGTTCAAACGCTTCGGACTGAGCACAGCAAGCCGTCACTCTACTGGATTCAGCACTAACAAGACACTATGGCATGGAACTGCGTCTTGGGTAACTCTCCTGATGATATCTGGGTTGACCCTTACGCTTGCTCACCAGCTTTTCTAAGCTGCTGGCATCTGCAGGCAGCAGTTCTTGAGTGCAGCTCAAACAGCATCAGATTCAAACAAACCCACGTGGTCATGAATCATTTGCTTTGTCTGTCTCAACTCAGAACCCTGGCGCCTGCTCCACTTAGGCAAGGAGGGACTGCATGTGCTTCTTAAATACTTCCCCAGATGCATTTGTTTTCGAGAAGTGGGGGAGGCTAACGAGATGCCTCAGCAGGTAAAGGCACCTGTGGCCAAGCCTAAAGGCTTGAGTTCCAATCCCCAGAGCCCACACAGTGGAAGGAGACCTGAGTCCTGAACCTTGTCTTCTAACATCCACAAGTATTCCATGACACGCACCCCCACACCCCCACACACAATAAACAAACAAACAAACAAATAAATAGTAAATTTTGAAAAGGGATTGGAGGAAACTAAAGGTAACTGCATGGCTGCCAGTCAGTCCAACCTTCACAAAGCCCCTCGTTGGCCCTGCAACACTGCCGTGCTAACACTAGAGAAATTCACCACCACTGTCTTTGGCACTGTTCACGGAAATAGAGAATAATTTCAAAGACACAAAACTGTTACCTGGAATATCAGTTCTCTTCCACATCTCCAATGTGTTCTGTTCTCCATAAGTTAAACAAATTTGTCTTCAAATGTGATTAAATGTGTGCGAGGATGTGTGAGTGTGAGTGTGTGTGTGTGTGTGGTATGTGTTGTTATACCTTGTTAAAAGAAAGTGTGTAAGCAAAGATAAAGAAGTGGGTCCTTCAGTTGATTGGCTTGATCAGTTTGGGAGGCATCTAGGCAGTGGGACCAAGTCCTGTGCTCATTGCATGAGTTGGCTGTTTGAAACCTGGAGCTTATGCAGGGACACTTGGCTCAGTCTGGGAGGAAGGGACTGGACCTGCCTGGACTGAGTCTACCAGGTTGATCGCGGTCCTCGGGGGAGGATTTGCCCTGGAGGAGGTGGGAATGGGGGGGGGTGGGCTGGGGGTAAGGGGAGGAGGTGGGAGGGGGGAGAACAGGGGAACCTGTGGCTGATATGTAGAACTGAATGGTATTGTAAAATAAAATTAAAAAAAAAAAAAAAAGAAGTGGGTCCTTGCACTTCAATGGGAGATAAGTGCCGGCGAGCAGGCAGAACTGTGAGGGTGCTACCACAAGGGGAGCGAGGAGCTCTGGGACTCAGAAGCAGTGTGGCTTTGGCCAGACAACACTGGAAAGTGTGAACTACATTGTCAGGCTTTCTGTGAGGGGCAGATATGTCCAGTGCTAGCCTGGAGGCGTCACCACTCATCTGTGGCATTGCTCAGTAAGCATGTGCAGCGGGTATCCTGTGGCTAGACCCAGGGACTACAGAGAGGTCCCGCGGAGGCATAAAACACCCCGGATGAAGCGTGAGAACAGCTCTAACGAATAGCACAACTGCTTAGCAGAGACACGGCACACCCACAGGCAGCTAACCTCTGTCTGCGAGGAACTTCTTTCCGACATCTCTTGATTTTATCGCTGATGTCTTCTTCCTGTGAGCATGCACAGGTGACCTCCGAATGCTGGCATCCAGGCCACATGCTCAGGACACTGAATGTGAATCTGCAGCCTGCTTTCGGCCAAGCCCTGTCTTCCAGGCTATCATTTCCAGCTGCTGTCTAGACACAAATGTGTAACATCAGCATTTCCAAAACTGGATTCATTTTTAATGTATTTCTAACTATAAGCTAATGGCTTTACTATCTGACCACCCTCCCCTAAACTAAATAAAACATCAGCTCATCTCTCCTCTTCCCTCTGATTTTTTTTAGTCCTGATGTCACTAGACAAACTTCTTAAATTTTATTTGCATTTTCTATTATGTATATGTCTGAGTGGGGGTGTTTGTACATGAATGTATGTGCTCACAGCGGCCAGAAGAAGGTCTCAGAACCCCCTGGAGCTGGAGTTACAGGTAGCTGTGAACCACCTGAGGTGGGTGCTGAGGATCAGACTTCTTGGGTCCTCTGCAAGGCCAGTACGTGCTGCTAACTGCTGAGACTTCTCTCCAAGCCCCACCTCACTTGTTTCTACCTCTACAAATGTCTCTCCTTTGGCCTTTTCTCTCAGGGATCACTGCTTCTCAACACTTAACCAAATTGTGGGGGGTGGGTTTTCTCTTTTTCAGGCAATTACAGTGTGAATGAAAATGAATAAGAAAGGTATGTCCTAAGGCAGCCAATCACAGTGTCTGCCAGAGTTCAGTTGGGTTTTATTTTTTATTACATTTCATTTATTTAGTGTGTGTATGTACCAGCTGCAGTGTGTATATGGAGGTCAGAGAACAACTCTGGGAGTCTATACTGGCCTTCCACTGTGTGGGTCTCAGGG